GCCTTTCTCCTGTCGGGTTAGAAGGCTTTCCCCAAGTCGAACGGAACGGCTGCTGTTGTTCCAGAATCGCTGGAGCACCCTTCTTTCTTCGTTGCCTCTCTGGGGCAACTTAGACCCATTTAGGATTCCCTGGCAGGGCAAAATTACCCACGGGGGTGTGGAGAATCCGCAAGCCCACAATAGATCGCTACTGCGCAAAACCAGAAGTCCCTATATTTTGATAGCCAAGATAGATTTCAAATTTTGGAAGTTCACTAGGTGACAGTGGTCTCATCATACTCCCTTTATCAATCCAACGTAATTAATATATAGGAATAAATTGTGAAGAGAAACTATTTTCTATGCAACATGCAGTTCAATGAAGGAAGACATAAATCAAATGAATAAATTAAATATATGATGTTCAATCTGCTAATTTCCTCTGGATTATATTTCTGATTTCTTCAAACAGATCACATGCATCATAATTTTAAAAAGATCTGTCCAAAATACCTTTATTTGGAATTTAACCTCATATATTTATATACAGTTTACAGGGAGTATGTTACAAATGGAAGTCTAAACAATTAGGAATGTTACTGTACATTGTTAACATTAGTCATTAGTAACTTGTTATAAAAAACTGGGTTATTTTGTAAAAATATATTCTGATTTTAGGAAGACTAGACAAAAATTCCCAGGAAGTCAAACAAAGGTATGCTTAGTGGGGAACATGCACTTTTTAGCTCTAAAATTAGTTGGGCAGTGGAGGGAATCTTGAAAAAACACATCACCCTCCATTCAAGTAACTGCAAAAGCATGTAGGTTTTGCAGGTAGTCCTTGATGTACAACCATTCATTTACTGGGAGTGACCGTTCAAAGTTACAGTGGCACTGAAAAAAGTGACTTATGACCTGTTTTCATACTTATGACCATTGCAGCATCCCCATGGTCATATGATCAAAATTTGCTTGGCAATTGGCATATATATTTATGACAAATGCATTGTCCTGGGATCATGTGATCATCATCTGTAACATTCCCAGGCAGCTTCCAACAAGCAGAGTCCTTGAGGGAAACCATATTCGCATAACGACTGTAAGATTCACTTAAAAATTGTAGCTGAAAGTCGTAAAATGGGGCAAAACTCACTTAACAATTGCCTTGCTTAGCAATGGAAATTTGGGGTCAATTGTGGCTGTAAGTTGAGGACTACCTGTATTTCTTTACACCCTTGTTATTAACAACATTGATTTGGCAGCTCCTGCTTAGTTTAATGCTGAATCGCATCTTAAAAATACTTTTAATATTATTATTTGTGAAACATTACCTGTTAAATGCCCTTTCTCAAATATTTATGTCAGTTACTAATTTCTTATGTTTTCCCTCACTTTTTGTCATTGTTTCCTCGAATGAGCTGCAATTTCTGAAATCTTAACCTTCAAAAGGTTGAATTGGCTCTACTGATTCAGTGAGCAATTGAAAAAGTTGTGGGTTTTTTTGTAAAGGTAATAAATGACAAAAATTGACAGAAGAAATATTTTTACTCACTTGCCTTAACCAATGAACAAGCACAACTTTTAATTATTTTTTTTACAGCTGGATTGTAAAGAATTCATGGGAAACATAGTGTTATAAAATAATAATTAAAACAAGTCAACAACAAAATAATCACTTTATCATATGTTAAAGTAATTCCTCTGGGGAAAAAATCTAGAATTAAATGTTTGAGGGAAATTTTACACCCATCTTTTTTTTTTACTGGAGCACACAGCAATAATTCCCATGTAAAGAAGAAGCATCTCTATCTGCTTAGAAATATATTTGCTTTACTGGATCAGAATAAATAAATCTGATTCTTCCAGAGAAAAAATATGAGAGATAATATGTCTTCTCCAAGAAAAATAAATCAAATATAGAATCTGGGTGGGTTTAATGGCAAATTGATACATTCATATGTGTATGCATACCTACAATTCACACAATAGCAAATGAGTGCATTTCATGTATTGTATATAAGAAAAACTTCCATAAATATTCCTTAAATTTGAGATGCCCAAATGTGCCCAGAGATATATGCCTAGATTCCTGCCCCACCTCTTTAAGAAAAGTAGTTTAGAAAAATTGGAAGTTGGTCTGCTACATAGCAAACTAATAGTGTCAATATGATTTCTTTATTTCTAAGACCATCCAAATGGCCCAGGTGAATTGTGTTAAATAATAGAAATATCAGTGTCTTTGGAAGTGTGCACATTTGTCCAAAGAGCAAAAATAAACAAAAGAACATTTTAAAGGATGAGTTGGCCTGCAGACTGACATTTTAGTGCAGTGTTTCTCAACCTTGGCAATTTTAAGATGAGTGGACTCCAATTCAAGAACCCCCCACCCCTCAGCCAATTTAAAATTGCTGAGAAACACTATTCTAGTACATCAGTGCTTCATAACTGGTTATGTCTCAGAGAAGCTTCTAATGAGAAATGTCCTGTGGTTTGGAGGAAACATTTTGGATGAAAAGGAAATTAAATGCTGGATCTGGACCACTGAAAATCTTTCTGGAGAAAGAGAGACCTTGAGATGACTCACACATATACCTGACAGCTATTTTTTTGTCTGAGTATATGGCAGAAACTGATGTTTTTGTAGTCTTTTGCAAGTAGCTGGGAATCACAGGATTCCATCAAGTTCATAGCAGTTAATAGAGCCTTTTATGAACTTAAAGTTTCTACTAAACCTTGTGTTTTAATCACCATGGAGCTTACATTTTTTTCTTTTTTTACTGCTTGTTAAAATTTTCAGTCTGTTCTAGTCATATTTACTGGGTTAGTTTTCCTTCAACTCTTTAAGAAAGAAAATTATGATTTTAACATTTTTAATAATTTTTTATATAAAGCAAAAGGAAGATTACAGTGTTGATTTTAGAAAGTTTTAAACAGTGAAAGGGTTTAGATGGACTTCAAATACTTAAATAAGGTCTTTGGAGTTAATTAAAAGAATTAATTTAATTCTTAATTTAAATTAAGAATCAAATGATAGCCAATAAGAATTAATAAGAAAGAGATGGAAGTTCCAATAGATTTACAAATGAAACTGGATGATTTAATAATTACAAAAGACATACAAATATTAAACCAGAAGAGTGATGTAGATAACTTCTCCACATGAGATTAGGAAAGGATTTGCTGAAGCTTCAAATATTTCAGGAGAAGAAAGAGTGAGAATATGAACAGTGATGTGGATAACTTTCTTTTATTGGAATTACAAAAGGTGCTTATGAAAGATTTCAAGGATTCTGAGAGAAGAGACAAACATAGATTGTGAAAGCAAAGTCTTTTGGGGAACTAAATATTATTGGGGGAAAGAATACAAAACGCTATTTTGGTAATCTTTATTGGGTTTTTGTTGATTAGGATTGCATGATGAAGTGTTAAAGATTTTGCTTATTTGAAGAGAGGAAATAGGGGAGATATGTTTGGACAAAAAGGAAGATATAAATATAAAAGGAAAGATTCAAATTGGGTTTTAGTGGATATAATTTGTAAAACGTATGCTGTTATTTCTGATAACTCTTAATGGACATTTGTTAATTAAGATGAAGAGATGGTTTTAGTTTTAGAGATAATGATATTTTTTTCATGTTGATTATCCATGATGAGATGGAGAGGTTTCTTTTCTTTTTTTTCCTCCTTTTTCTGCGTTTTCATTTGTAAGGTTTTTTTTCTTTTTTAATATATTTTTATTTTATGTAGATTGTATTAATTTTATTTGTATAATGTATTCTTTAATAAAATTATTATTAAAAGTAATTGGTTATGTCTCCTTTATTAGACAATTGGTGAATCAGCGAAACCCATAAACTTCCTAAGTGACCAACCAAACCCAAAATATCAGAGACTACTATCTTAAGATCTGTCAGGTCTGGCTTTGATTAACACTTGATTATTTGATATTACTTGGATAAGCACTATTAAAAAAGAAGACATAGACAGAAAAGGATGTTTATTTGTTTATACACAGTACTGTTGAACAAAACTAGCACAGTTCCTGGGGTTCAGCAGTAAAGGACCTTTACTGAAATATTTAAAAGCTGGCAGCACATGCAAAAATTCACACAAAATATCTTCATTTTTTACGCTCCTGGAATCTATGAAAGAAGTATAGTATTGGTAGTTCTAAATCAGTATTAGAATATCCATAAAATGACTGAGAATTCTGGGTGTGCTAATCGTACATACATGGAAGGCAACGGGTGAAGAAATCGCGCGGTGTGTGTGTGTGTGTGTGTGTGAGAAATACTGACTTTGGGGGGGGGGGATAAGATTAAGCAATTCGCATGTGTCATTTGATAGTAGGAAGCGAAGGAGAACATTGTATATCTGTTTATTCTTCCTAAGATTTGTTGGCTGGGAAGAGCCACAGGGTGTGAAGCCTTTTGCACGGCAATGATTGCTTGGGAAAGGAGCCGCACTTAAGCATGGAAGAAAGACAAGGTTGTCCTCAAGGAACCAGCTGCTTTCGATAGATAACAGCTCCGTCTCTGTGGGATAACACAATTTGGCCTACTAGGTCTGCGGGCGCGCGCGTGTATGTGAAGGACGACCCCTCCTTGAACGAGAGGTCTGCGCGCGAGTTAACTACCCACACGTGTACACATCAGGTCTCCCCCCCCCTCCAATTCTTCTGTAGCCCGCGGCTCTTTTAGTTACGCGGTGGGCTCGCACCGGCGTATTTACGGTAAGGTGGAGTGGACCCGACGGCCAGTCCGTGTCAGGTGATCTGAGGCAAGGAACTATCGCCGCCGCCGCCCAACACCGCCGCAGCTGCTCCAGCTCTTGTCCGGAGGGGAGGAAAATGCAAAATGGCCCAGCAGAAGCTGCAGCGGGCTTATGAGGAGGGGCTGCCAGGCGGCGCCCCCCCCCCGGCCCTGACGCGCGGGGACAACGCTAAGCGTTGAGTCCCTCCTTTCCCGCCGCCAGCCCAGACGTGCGCCCGCTTCCTTCGCTCTCCGAAGGGCCATCCAGACATGGGGCTCTGCTACAGCCTACGCCCGCGGCTCTTTGGCGAATCCGGCACAGCAGCAGGCGGCGGCGGCGGCGGCGGCGGCTCCATCTCCAGCGCTGCCGCCACGACCACCTCGGAGACCGAACAACAGCCATCGCCACCGCCCTCGGCAGAACCCTCGGCCCGGGCGCCGCCTCTCCTGCCCGGAGCTCAGGCCGGGAAATCGAGAGGCAGAAGCGCAGGGAAAGGAAGCGGCAGCAGCAGCATCAGCGGCGAGAGCGAAGGAGCCGGTGGAAAGCCGCGCGTGGGGGAGGCGGACGGGACCCTGCTGCTCCTGCAGAACGGAGAGGGGAACGGGGCGGCTCCCCGGGAGAAAGAACGGGAATCGCCGCAGGGGCCGCCGGCATCTCAGGCCAAGCCCGCCGCTGGCAAACAACAGTCTCTGACGCTGCAGAGACCCTGGGAGAAGGGGCGCTTGGAGGAGCGGGAGGCGGAGAAGGAAGCCAGGCGAGTCAGCAAGAGCATTGACCGGGCGCTAAAGGAGCAGAAGCGGGAATACAAGCAAACGCACCGCCTGCTGCTGTTGGGTACGTAACTGCCCCGCCTCGCCTCGCCTTAGCGCACAGGTGGCGCTGGCTGCTTCCAAAGATGACACATGACAGTGTAAAAAAAAAAATTAATTAAAAATCAGCGGGTGCCCGAGTTGGGGGTGTTGCTTTGTGATGGGATGGTATTTAAACCCCAATTGCCTGCCCTCGCGCGGTTCACGCTTTGAACAAAGCACCTTTCTGTCATGCCTCGTCGAGTCGAAACTGCATTCTCGGTATTCATGCAGTTTCTTCAATCGGGTCATTCTTCCAGCCTTGTCCCCCCACTTCTGTGTATTATTTCCGGGTCTCCGGTTTCTTTTCTCCTCCAAATGACCTGATGCTTTTATTTCTGTCCAGCTAGAAAAATGGTATTATATGATGAAACTGTAGGTGTCCTAACCCAGCAGCACAAGAGAAAAGATGTCCCAGTTTATTATTGTTAGCATAAAAGTATATGGTCTATGGCAACCTTATTGATCAGACATGTAAAGAATCCCTGTGCTGTCACTTTGAGAATATAAGCACATATGATTGTTAATAAGAATGGGATTTTTTTAGTGTAAAATCTTAAATATGTTTTCCATCACAATTGGTTATGCCCTTTTGAGAAAATATGCATTTATAATGGATAAGTGAAGCATGGAAATGTTAGGATATAAATGGAATAATTAAGTGAAATAATAGTCATGTTTATTGTGGAAATGTGAGGAATTGATGAGCATAAAAAAATTCAAACTAAGATTTAAACCAGACCTGTTCAGCGTTTTGGACCTCATTCCAAAAAAGGATTTTGTACTAGAGGGGATGAAAATGTAGCCCCTGTGTGCATTAAGTCAGCCATATTTTTCTTTCAGGTTGACTTGGCAGCTGTCACATCCTAAAAAGAGAGATACAGTGGTACCTCAGTACTCACTGTTAATTGGTTTTGGGAGGCATGATGAAATACCAAAAATGATGAGTATGATGAGTACTAAATAGATTTTTCCCATACGGAATAATGTAGTGAGTCACAAGGTAGCCAATACCGACAGGTTCTAGCTTGTGCATCAAGTACCAAACAAACGATGAGTACTGGGACAAAATGTTCGCATCAAATTGCACTGAGTACCAAATTTGATGAGTTTCAAAGCAGTACCCCACTGTAGTTGCTTTAAAGAGCACCATTCTAGAGGTGTTATGCTTGCAATTTTGTGCACTCCAAAGCATCTTTTCCAAATTATTTCCAAAGCACTAAGCAGCCCTAAATTATTGCAGGTTTTTTACATAAAAGTATTTAAAGTGTTTTATATAAAGCATTTAAAAGCCTTATTGAGGACTGGAGAATCCATGTACAGTATGTCCAATTGGTTTAATAATATTCAGGTTAAACTATGTAATCAATCAATTCAAATTAATTTGGATACTTAGTAGTAGAAAATAGTTTTATAGTACTGTTTTTGAGAGGAATCTTTCAGATAAGTATCAAATACCTATCATTGGTTTGCTTCCTATAAGGCAATTTGCAACTCCCAGAAAATTGACAAGAAACATGACCTACTTTGAGATGCTTCCTCCTCAACATGTGTTGTAATGGTATCTTTAATAGGGAAGGACTTTTTTTTAAACAAGGGCTTTCACCAAAGAAGTAAGGGTAAAAGAGATTTTTTTGAGTATAGAAATCATCCAGTATTTTAAAGTTATAAAAGGTAAACTATTTTTCTATAATTAGCTTGTTGATACATTTTAATTAATAATTAAACTCTCTAGGAAGCTCATTATGCATGCTGCTTTTACAGCATGAATGCTACAGGGACAGTTAAATGAAGCATCTGATTTCCCTGAAGAAATAAATTGCAATCACATGTGTTTGATTTGTTCATTTTCAGTGGCTGTGTGTTCCAAAGTAAGATCAGATCAGACATTTTTCACACTCATTATTTTATTGAAAAATTGTTAAAATATCATTTTTTGTTCTCCAAAATTCCCTCGTATGTCTAAAAGAAAGTTAAAATAATTTGTTATGGTGCCTAACCATAATTGTTTCCCAGTTATAGTCTCTGTAACTGGTTGGACATAATCCTACATTATTAGGTGGCAGTAAGGGAGCAAATGGAAGCCTTATAGCAGACCTTGGCGTGATAGTGACAATTTCAAATGCAATTTTCAATGCAAGTGAAATATATTAAAAATGGAGACAATAGTTGCTTTGGATAAATAGGGCAGTATGTGATAGAGCTAGCAAGGAGGACTTCAGCTATAGTAAATAATTGCAGAAGTAGAGAGCTGTTCGCTTGTATAATTAAGAGTTGCCCCAAGGTTACTAACCAAATCTAATTCTAAAAGGCTAATAACTCCTTAAGATTAAGTGGGGGAAGAAGACATCTTAAGTGTGTATTGAAACAAGACTGCAGTCTGTCATCAGTAAAATCCATCTCATAATATGGGGGAAAGGTACATTTTAAACTGTCTCTTTAGAACTCATCTTGTTTATCTGAAGGATGGGTCCAGGGCCATTAGAGACTATTTATTTCTTTTAGAGTGCATTCCTCTTCAACACAGAGATTATGCTATGAAGGCCATCTAAGACCATTAATAGATGTTACTATACTATGCTGGCAGCTACTGATCTTTATTCCTTGTACCTTGTCATGAGATTTGTGTGGCTGTGGTCAGAAGGACCAGTCATTTTAAAAATGGATGATTTAGAGACAAGAATTGGGAAATAGTGAGGAGGTTCACTGGGGAATGGATTCAGTTGAATATGGTAATTCTGAGGGGTATGCAGTATTGTAAAATAGATATGGACATATACCGTGTTTCTCCGAAAATAAGACCCGATCTTATTTTTTTATTACTTTTTTTGCCTCCAAAAGAGGCACCAGGTATTATTTTCGGGGGGGTGTCTTTTCCACTCACCTAGCGATGGCAGAACCAACAGCCCCGCCCAGCCAACCCACTTCTTCTGCGGCTGAAGAAGTAGCTTCATTCTGCAGCTGAAAATGGAGCTCCGGCCTGCATTTTGCCGTCAGAGACCTTCTGGAAAGTGGGCCGGTGAGGAGAGGCAGGTGTCAATTCATGGGAGGCCTGGTAAATGGGTGCGGGGCACCTGGGGTGGCTCCACCCCCCTCCTGTCCTAGCTTGATTTTTAAGTGTGCACCTCGCCCCACAATAGGGCTTATTTGGGGGGGGGGGCTTATATTAGGCCTATCCCCAAAAATCAAGCTAGGGCTTATTTTCAGGGTAGGTCTTACTTTCAGGAAAACACAGTATTCATGCTTCAAGACTACTACTAATTCTCCTCTTTGGATTCAAATCCTCCAAATCTGTGTCAAAGGACTGAGGGGGCCTCTGGAGGAAGCTTTCAGGGTATGGAAACTTACATGGAGAAAGCTAGATTGTTTCTCTTCTATTCTGGGTACAAAGTTGGCTTCCATTCTCATAAGTATATTGTTTCTTTCTACCCTAATTAATCTTATTTTATGATTGCTCTAGAATATGAAAATTGCCCTATAATGTGATTGTGTTCCTTTGCTTTATTGTTATGAATTGTGTGTATGGGTGGAGCCATTTTAATTTCTTAAGGCAGTTATTTGGAGAACTGAATTCACTATTAGTATAGTTGATGATCAGAAGGCATAGCGGTGCATATAGTGTAAAGAATATTTTACATTTTAGATAGCAGAATAAGGATTATTTTATACTTCATCTGAGAAGAGACTGAGGGAGAACAGTATAAGGTATTTAAATGCTCACATCATAAAGTACATTGCCTTGTGATCATGTTTATAGTTAGCAATTCATTTATTGTGTGAATAATACTCTCTCCCTTCACTGGGTGCCTCTGTAAACATTTCTGCCAAAGTTGAATCTTGTAAATTTTAATTAAACTTTTCCATGGAGGGAGTTACCTTCTAAAGCCTACCTACAGTTTACTTACATTATTTCATGAAGTTTATTTCCATGAATAGATACACATATCTATTTATCTAACAATTTAAATATAAAACAAATGTATTTGTATTTTGTCTGTTCATTTGTTGCCTTAAACACATTATTTTGTACAAAATATGTACAGATTCAAAATAATTTCTAAAAATCAGTTCTGAAAAAATGGTTAAACTACAGGCTAATATAAATACTATATTGTTTCTCTGTTGTTTACAGTAATGTAGTTTGCTTATAGGATGTCATAGGTTACTCTTATAAACCACTGTTTTAATGGTATGCTGTATGCATACCATTCTTAGCGGTGTTACTATATTGTGGGATAGTACATATCTCATTGACTTCCTTATGGATAGATATAATTGTTCACATAGTAAAAAAAAGAAAAGTCTCAATGAACATAATTAACTTGAAAAAAATGTAATCTCTCAAGTACATTTTATTCTAAAAAGAAGCCAAACTGTACATTTTTGTACTGATGCATGGTTTAAAGTGGCACATCAATTAGCAAGTCTGCTTGCATTTTGTAAAAATTGACAAATGTATCCTGTTCTACAAATATTTGAGACTCACAAAAACTTGGAAAAAGATCAAATATTTGGAGGATGCTAATAATGGTAAAAGCAGCAAATGTATTTATTCCGTTTATTTAGCTGCCCAACTCTCATGTGTGACTGCTTGTAATTAAAACATATCAAACAAATCAAAAAGTAAAACTGCTATAGAAGCAATTCAAACATTAAAAACAAAATCATATAATACCATACCACAGAGATTTACTTATATAAAAATAAAAATAAAAATATTGAAAATTCCTCTCTTCAGGAGACACAATGAGGGGCACTGGAGCACAAGACTGCAGGGAAAGGCTTTCTGGGAAATAATGGTCTACTTGGATGTTGCTGTTATTTCAGAACAGACCGGAATGCTGATCTGAGTAAACGCAACCTATCTGGTTAGAATAGAACTTGAGATGTAAGCTTTCATTTAGACGTAATTCAGTTCTGGAAGCAATTTTTGAATGGGTGTTTTATGATTGATTGCTAGAATTCCAATTTCATAAGCTAGGACTG